GCTCAATCTCCGTCACGTTTCTCTTTCATCTCATGAATGTGTTGCTCTCAGTTCTTTACTGCGTGGCTATACATGTTGTGATTTGGAAGAAGTTAATCTCTTTGGGTGTGTTATTGGCGATGAGTCATTTCGCAGCTTATCAGAATGCTTACAGAGGTGTAGCAGTGTACGTGTACTAGATCTACCCTGGAATGCTATTCATGATGGTCAGGCATTATCCTCCGTGATTTCGGCCATGTCAGCTAGTCTTGTTCTCGTGAACGTGGCTGGTAATCCTGTTGGTATGTGTGGTTTCGAGCCGGTGTGCCATGCACTCAGTCAGTGTAAGAATGTACGCGCTGTCAATGTCATGTGCATGTATAGTGATGGTGCTCAACCGTTGTCTGTAGTCTGTGATATGTTGGAGCAGTGTACACATCTGGAAAGGTTAGAGTTGGATGGAAATGTGTTTGTGAGCAGTGAAGATAATGAGTTGAGATTCATCGATGGAGTTAAGGCGTGTACACAGTTACGTGTACTGCATGTGTATGGCTGTGGCTTGAGTGAGAATGTTTGTTCTCAACTTTTCACTGTATTCGCAGAGAGGGAGTGTTTGGAAGGCTTGTTTGGTGTCTGAGTAAGTAAACTGGTTTTGTAAGTAAGATTTTGACAACGTATGTTGTGTTTTAACTTGATCACGCAGTCATGTGTAAACTTGGCAAATATTATTGTTGTAAATTCTTGAGACAATGTAAAGTTTTGTATTGTTTTGTTCCCCTGTATACCCCTACCTCTAAACCCTGACCATCGATAGTTTTTTTGCCTGCTTTTCTTCATTATCATGTTCTTTGCTTGCTGCTTGCTTGCTGACTACTCATTTGTAGAGGACGGTTGTAAAGACATTTCTGATGCTTTCATGCCTATATCATATCTGCTAGGAAGATAATATTAAAAATACTACACAGGTGTGGACAATATGTCTCCGGAATGGCGAGAGTCACACTAAAACACAAATGGTTTTAGATCCGGCTTTCAACCACTGCCAGCTCCCTGAGCTCGTTAGCTGGACGATGGTATGCCGTGTATATCATATCTGCTGCTAATGCTGTGTGTTTATAATGTAGTATGTAAGGGGTCATGGCAAACGTTTTTAGTCTTATTATTTATTCTTCTTTTACTAGGGAATTAATTAGTGGTGACTTGAGCTCGTGCCAGCATCAAATTTTCACCCTCCATCCCTCCCATCTTATCCTCTTGCTAATGGTACTTCAAGTACTAGCGTACATTTAGCTCCATCGCTCCTAACTGGTCATTTGCTTCGCTAGTTGCGGCTCATCACGAGCCAGTAGCGGCTCTCCACGAGCCAGTTGTTGCCAATTGGATTGGCTTTGCCTTGCAACCCCATTGTGGCACAATGTGGGTTTATTGCGGCTCCTCGCGAGCCAATTGCTGCCAGTGGCCTGGCGTTGCTTTCCAGCTCTTTGAGCTTTTGCATTACAAGACCAGTTACTCGAAGCAGCACACTATCTCCAAAGCAACTCCTTGTTGCTTTGGGCTGAGTAGGAGTGTGTGAGGGATATGGTGCTAATGGCTGTGAGAACAGTCTAATAAGTACCGTATTTCCCCGAATGTAAGTCGCACCTTTTTACACTAAAATTCAAAAGTAAAAAGGGGGTGCGACTTACAATCGAGCATGACTTACTACTGAAGTCAATATATCAAAATATTGCTCAAACCAGAAAATGGGGGTGCGACTTATAATTGAGTGCTACTTATGTAGCGTTGGCACGCTGGGGACTTCAAAGCGTATAGTGATTAGAGTATAGCATATCCCCGTACTGTATCCCCGTACATTAGCGTACGGAGTCTGCCTTTGTATCAAAGCTGCTGCGCACGATTCTTTTATAGCCAGTTAGTTAATTTAGTTGCCAATCAGTTATAGTTAATTTCATTGAGATTATAGTTAATTTCGTTGCCAGTACATTTCAATTGCCAATTACAGTGTGTTCACTGAGACCCTTGTGCGTTCTTGCCTCCGAGAGACTGCGGCCCGCTACACTTATAATCGGGGAAATGCGGTAATATGGAGGGATTACAAATATCGGATGAAAAACCAAGTAATCAGAACAAAGAAACAACCTGACAATGATAACAACAAAAGTAAAAGAACGTTTTCTTGTCACAATTATCAATGGAATTCGTGACTAAAGAGAATGATGAAACTACAATCGGATTTATACACTTGGAATGAAAAAAAACACGAGGATACAAGAATAGTAAGAAAATAGCACAAACTCCGGAAAAATTGCACGGGTAATAAAGACTATAAACGTTCTGGAATACTTTATTCATCCCTATGGTTGTGATATGAGTGCACACATAGTTTTATTCATTGCATTATTAAGATTATTGTCTCCACGTCGCCTTTTTAAAACTAAAAGATTTCGTCATTAGAGAGGTTAAGTTTCACGTAAAAACCTTACGTCTGTGAACATTTACATCAGAAATTCAAAAACTCACGTAAAATTTGACGTGTTTTACGCGAGTTGACTCTCCCGCACCCTTTCGAGTGGTCGAATCCGAATCTACCGTATTCCTTTTTTTGCCAAAAAACCGCGCCCTGTACGCGATACGTATACCATGGTGTACAAATGGCGGGACAAAAGCGATGATGCGGAAATCGTTGCTTTCTCTCATGGAAACCCTCAAAAATCACAAAAAATTCCAGATTCGATCAAGGGCAGCGTTCGATCTGGATCTGGATCCGACCAATCGAACGTGCCCTAAGGTTCCACAGTTAAAATTACAGTTTGCGGGATATTCCCGGAATATTTTTGGGAATACTATCACTTAAAATCGTCTTTCCCTCAAACCAGTGAATATTTTTTAAAGGGATTTTTAGGGAATTCTATCGATTTTTTATTTATTTTTTTAACAAAGACCACTTCATGCCAAACATGAGATGCAGCTAGGGGAAGCACGCACAACCTGAATCGTGGCAGTGGTGGTGAGGTTTAGGGAGCTCCGCCGACCTAGGGTCTCGACTTCATAGCCACCTAGACGCACACTTGCCAGATCCATTAATCTTCAGAAGAATTTTGGGGGGAATTCCGTTAATTTTGACCTGCCAGAGAATGAGCAAGCATCCATGGACGCACATACAATCATTGTTAGATCTGTAGTATAAATTCGGCATGCAGCAGTGCAAATCAATGATCACGTGCCTGACCGTCCATTTTGCACACTAACGCGCATGCGCAATGCACGATTCATGCTGGTTTATGGGATGGATTTGAGTAACTATGGATAATGTTTTCCATGTTTTGGGAGAGTACTTTTCAATTTCCGCGGAAAATATCCAAAAGCATAATACCGGATGTACGGGCATAATCTGCGCACCCCCTTAGAAAGTGTATCCGGATTTGCACACTTTTGGGAGCTTACATGTACATGGATTTGCCTCATGATTTGCCTCATGATGCAGTCATTCACGCTTTGCACTGCCGCCGTTCACAACTTTTAGATTTGCGCCATGCTGCAGCTATTTACACTTTGCTTTTGTATTTTTTATAGGCTGGTACAGTCAGCCATCTGAGACTGAGGTATACTTGAGGTGGAGGCCGGGGTCTCCGCTGAAAAAATTGAAAATATACATCCCAACTTCAGAGCATTTTATTGATTGACAGTGTAGTTGGGGCACATAGAGGCACGATGAACACGGTGGTGACCGCAGCGTAGCACCGCCGTTGGAGGTGGGAGGGGGGGGGGGGGTAGGCTCCGGCGGATTATGCTCGCGAAATCATGGAATTATGTTTTCATGGATTCTCGCATTATGCTCGCAAAATCCTCATATTATCCTTTGGGATGCCGGGATACTTATTCACTTTGTTGTACTTATGACGCCTCAAAGTTCGGAAAATTATGCCTTTTTCGTACTTGCAAGTGGCCATAAGTACAACAAAATCCTAGGTTACATGAGTATTCCCATACCAAGGTGTCCATGCATG